CCCTCGCTGCCTTCCTGCCCTCCCTCCCTCCCTCGCTGCCCTCCTACCCTCCCTCCCTCGCTGCCTCCTACCCTCGCCTCCCCTCGCTGCCTCCTATCCCCTCCCTCCCCGCTGCCTCCTATACCCTCCCTCCCTCCGCTGCCCCTCCTACCCTCCCTCCCTGTCGCGGCATCCTACCCTCCCTCCCTTCTCTGCCGGGGTCCTACCCTCCCTCCCCGCTGCCTCCTACCCTCACTCCCTCGCTGCCGGGTCCTCCCACCCTCCTCGCTGCCTCCTGCCCTCCCTCCTCCCCCCTCGCTTGCCTCCCCTACCCTCCCTCCCTCGCTTGCCTCCTACCCTCCCTCCCTTCGCTGCCTCCTACCCCTCCCTCCCTCGCTGGCCTCCTACCCAACCCTCCCTCGCGGCCTCCTGCCGCTCCCTCCCTCCCTCGCTGCCTCCTACCCTCCCTCCCTGCGCTGGCCTTCCCTGCCCGTCCTCCCCTCCCTCGCTGCCTCCTACCTCCCTCCCTCGGGGGCTCCTGCCCTCCCTCCCTCCCTCGACTGCCTCTACCCCTCCCTCCCTCGCTGCCTCCTACCCTCCCCTCCCACGTGGCCTCCTACCCTCCCCTCCCTCGCGGCCTCCTACCCTTTTCCCCATCCCTCGCTGCCTCCTACCTCCCTCCCTCGCTGCCTCCTACCCGCTACTCCCTCGCTGCCTCCTACCCTCCCTCCCTCGTCTGCCTCCTGCCCTCCCGACCCTCCCTCGCTGGCCTCCTAACCGCCCCTTCCCTCATGTCGCTAGCCGTCCGTAACCCTCCCTCCCCGCCTTCCTCCTACCCTCACTCCCATCGCTGCCTCCTACCCCTCCCTCCCCGCGGCCGTCCCTGCCCTCCCTCCCTCCCTCCGCTGCCGTCCTACCTCCACCCTCGCGCCCTCCTGCCTCCCCTCCCTCCCTCGGCGTGCCGTCGTTCCTAACCTTCCCTCCCCGCTGTGGCCTCCTGCCCTCCCTTCCCTCCCTCCCTTGCCTCCTACACCCTCCCCTTCCCTCGCGGCATCCTGCCCTCCGCCGCCCTCCCTCGCTGCCTCCCTTGCCCTCCCTCCCTTCCCTCCGCTGCCTCCTACCCTCCCTCCCGCGCTGCCCCTACCCTCCCCCTCGCTGCCTCCTACCCTCCCTCCCTCCCGTCGGCGGCCTACCTGCCCTCCCTCCCTCCCCTCTGCCTCCTACCCATCCTCGTCGCTGTCCCCCCCCACGGCCTCCTACCCCTCCCTCCCTCCTCGCTGCCTCCTACCCTCCCGCCCCTCGCTGCCTTCCTACCCTCCCTCCCTCGCGGCCTGCTGCCCTCCTCCCTCCCTCCCTCCCTCGCTGCTGTTCCTAACCCTCCCTCCCTCGCTGCCGCTCCTGCCTCTCATCCCTCGCTGGCCCTCCAACCCTCCCTCCTCGCGCCGTCCTGCCCTCCCTCCCTCCCCGCTGCCTCCTACCCTCCACGCCCTCGCTGCCTCCTGGCCCCCCCTCCCTCCCTCCTTCCCTTCGCTCCTCCTACCCTCCCTCCCTTGCAGCCGTCCTACCCTCCCATCCCTTTTGCTGCCGTCCTACCCTCCCTCCCTCGCTGCCTCCTAACCCTCCCTTCCCTTGCTGCCTCCAACCCCTCCCTTCCCTTGCTGCATCCACTACCCTAGCCGCTCCCATGCTGCCTTCCTGCCTCCCTCACATCCCTAACATTCAAGCTGTCTTCTAACGGTCCATTAAGAAGTCCAGTGAACTGTCCATAATGTCCTACCCCCTGGATAAATTTGTCGTGAAATGTCAGGTGGGCCAGAGTGACAGACCTGCCCCTGTTGTTTGTTTTGTTGTTTAGGTATCCAGGACAAGTAACCTGGGGATAGATTAGATTGGACTTAGGTACCTGGGGTGGACTCTGTGGACTCTTAAACCTGGGACTGTCTTAACCGGGACTTGTACCTGGGACTGCCTAGTACCTGGTGAAAATGTACCTGGGACATAGTACGCGTGATACTAGCTACCTGTGGATCTACACTTATGGCAGAGTGTATGTGGGTTCTGATAACGTGATTGGGGTAAAAAACACTCACTTAGGCTGGTGAGTACGTATAATAAAAACGGAAAGAATGGAAGCACCATCAGCCGCCCTGACCTCTACTGCTCGCTACCTATCTCAAACTGACGATCAATTGTGAATGTCGTTATTCCCATACGTACATCGACAGATATTTAGCATCCTCAAGTATCATTTTGTTACCTCTTACCAACTTCCATATTTGCCTCAAATACAGCATGAGTTTAGCCAGTGCAACAGAGTTGATCCTTCCAGAGATGAACACCCATTCTGCATATGCGAAACTACACCCCTAGCAGAGTGGGGATTAAATGTAAATAACAAGTAAAGATGAAAATTACAGTATCTTACTTATCAGTATTCCAATGAATTATTTTTGTGTGTTTCACGTTCACTCCGAATTCTGAGATTTAACAGTCTGGGCTAGATTTGAGTGCAACCGATCTGCTTTCTGTTAAACTACTCTCTTTCGTTTGTATCGAATTTCTTCCCTCTAAATCCGAATCACATGAATACAGATCGATCGATCAAATTTTTTTTAAATCATTTCTATTGTGTAATCCAAATGTTGAGTACTGCTCGATGAGTTGTTGTTATATCATATAACATTGTATTGCATTACAGTTTCATCAGCAGTTTGGTATTACATTTTCATTATGTCATTACGTAAGCCTTTCCATTCCAATATTCCTCCTTATGTTATAAATGTTCCCAACTGATGTGTAATTTGACAATGTATAGAAATCAGCCCAAGCCGAACAGCCTGCCGTTCTATTTTGGTATTAGCTGTATGTCGGGACGACATACGTTAGCGGGACCGCCGGAGCTAATAATTACTCGATTTACCAGTAGATAGACTCACAACCACCGTCTGTGTGAAATCACTGACTTTTATTCACGTTTGCTGCAGACCAAGCATGTGGTCAAACACAGCTCACCTCCTCTAGGCACTGGTGAGTCAGCCCTGAGATACGGAGTCAGAAGAATGGCAGGTCGCTGAGTGGTCCTTTCCATACTTTCCGTTATAATTATACGTACTAACCGCCTACGTGAGTATTTTTACCGCCATCCACGTTAACGAACCAAATGACACTAGTAACCCTTGGAACTAGTACCTGGGGATAGTAGATGGACTAGTATCATGGGTCTAGTGCCTGAGGCTATTACCTTGAGATAGTACCGAGGACTATACGTGGGACTAGTACCTGGGACTAGTACCGTGGGACAGTACCTAGGGACAAGTCCCTGGGGCTAGTACCTGGTGATTGTACCGGAGACTAGGTACCTGGGGCTAGATAACCTGGGGCGTGTAACCTGGGGCTAGTACCTTGACTAGTACCTGGGCTAGTACCAGAGACTAGTACCTAGACTAGTACCTGGGGATAGTACCTTTGGCTAGTAACCTGAGCCTAGTAACCTGGGGCTAGTACCTTGGGCTAGTCCAGGTACTATACGCTGGTGATAGTACCTGGACTAGTACCGGGATAGTACCTTGGGATAGTACCTGGGGATAGTACCTAGGGATAGTACCATAAGGGATAGTAACCGGTATGGATAGTACCTAGGATACGTACCTAGTGGATAGTACCTAGTGATAGTATCCCCGTTCATCCCACATCCCTTCAGTAACCAGTTATAAATATTCAAGAAAATTCACTGATCAGCCTGAGCATGTGACTGAAGTGGAGTGATGTTACTGTTGATCTGAGGTGATGCTGTAGATCACTGACCACCTATCACGGTTCAGGGACGGAAACACCTAACAAGGTTGCAGGTACTTAACACCTATCAATCAAGGTTCACAGGGACTGACACCTATCAAGGTTGAGGGACTGACCCCGTATCAAGGTTCAAGGCCTGAAACACCTATTCAAGGTTCAGGACTGAACACGCTATCAAGGTTCATGGACTGAACACCTATCTAAGGTTCAGGGCCTGAACACATATCAAGATTGAGGGACTGAACACCTACAAGTTGAGGGACAGAAACCTAACGGAGGTTCAGGGACATGAAACACCATATCAAGGTTCAGGGACTGAACACCTATCGAGGGGTTCCAGGGGACCGAACACCTATGCATGGTTCAGGGACTGACATCTATCAAGGTTCAGGACTGAACACCTATCAAGGTATCATGGACTGAACACCTACACGGTTCAGGACCTGACACTCTCAAGGGCTGAGGACGAACACATCCAAGGTTCAGAGGACTGAAAATTCTAATCAAGGTGGATGGACTGAACACCTATCAAGTGTTTCAGGACTGAACACCTATCAAGGCTGAGGGACTGTACAACATATAAGGTTACAGGACAAACACCTATCAATGTCCAGGGACTGAAAACCTATCAGGTTCAGGACTGAACACCTATCAAGGCTTTGAGGGAACTGAACACTTTTCTATAAGACATATGGACTGAACACTATTATGATTGCTGTTAGTGAGGTGCATCAGTGTAGGATGATCACTGAGGCGGAAGATTTTACAGAATACAATCACACACCTTTCCTTGATTACTGCATCAAGTACAGCTTTACAATCACAGGGTTTTTCCTCACCGCCTAACGCAGCAGAGTATTTTTGGTGTATTAATTGGAGTAGGTAAAATGTACATGATTTTTAAACTTATTGGTTAGGAAATAGGGGAGGTGTTAGGAGGGTAAAACAGGTGGAGTGATAGAGATGAGAAGGATGGTGGAGGATCACTTCATACACAGTTTGAAGACTAGGTATGATTGTGTCCTGGAGCGAGAAGCAGAAGTGGACGAGGTAACGATTCTTCTCGACCCCCCCAGACACATACCATATATGTTCACGACACCACACACACACACACACACACACACACACACACACACACACACACACACAACACACACACACACGACACACACACACACACTCACACACACACAAGGTACCAATAGGAACGACATTTAAACAAATCAACCTCTCATATTCATGACCACGCGTAGTTCGTGTGCATGAATTGCTCGATTTTCCCTGCTTATAGCGGCCCGTATATCGCCATTCTCTAGCTGGTAATTACAGGTTACATACACAGTAACCGCGTATGGCAAGGAGGATTTTTTGGCCTGTATTAGCCGCCGAGTCCGGATTATAGTGCAGCACGTACTGGCCAATCATCCCCACTAAACAAAACCGCTGAAAAAAATACGGAATACTTGGGACGAGGTCAGGGGAAATTTGTACACACTGGCAGATTTTTAAGCAACGTTTTCGCGCGAGGGTTGGTGCTTGCCGAAGCCCGACTTCTTTCAGGAGAGCGTTTCGCCCAATACTAGTGCTTGATAAAACCTAAGGATCCCTTTTAATAGGACTTTTCGCTCAAGGCTGTACTTGATAAAAACCTAAGGATCCCTGATAAAAACGACTTTTCGCCCAATGTTGGGTAGTTATAAAAACCTAAGGAATCTTTTAATAGGACGGTTGCCGCCAAGGCTGTGTAGTCATAATAAAGTCCAAGAATCCTTTCAGTACAGCTGTTTCGGTCGCGCCAAGGCTAATACGTTATAAGCCAGAAATTCTTTAAATACAGTATTTCACAGAATACTGGTACTTGATGGAAGCCTAAGAATACTATTCAGTAACAACGTATCGTCCAAGACTGGTAATTCGATGAAACCACATCCATGGCGAAACTTTGTAATGAAGAGTTTATTCTTCTGCCAGTGTCTCTATATCCCAACATTTCGCATCGTAGAACATTAGTTAATATATGGAGAACTTTAGAGACTTTTCGCTCACCAGGAGTGGGTAACTTCTCATTAGAAAAAGGGGGAGCTCTCATGATACCTGCAACATTCAACTTGGTTTAGAGTATCAGAAACATCAACTTGGTAATTCAACGTGCAGACCTGACGGGTTAAAATTCGACAGGTCCCTGACCTGTATTCAAGCAGTTCCTAGACTGCTGATTCACCATTCCGTTTGACTGGTGATTCGACGAGTGTCCATGAGCTGGTGATGTCAACCAGTATCCTGAACGTGGTAATTATTGCGACAAGTTTCCTAGACTGGTGATTCGACCGGTTTCCAGGACTGATGATCAATCAACCGTTTCTGAACTGGAGAGTCAGCCCAGCTCCTTGACTGGTGATTCAAGCATTTTTCCCTGGACTGGGTGAATCAACCAGTTCCCGGCCTGGGTGATTGGTCAACCAGTTCCGGAACTGGTTGATTTGACCAGGTCCTTGACTGGTGACCCAACCAGTTCCTGGACTGGTTGATTTAATCATGCCTTTTTTTTAATTTCCCCAAAACGGAGGAAAACTCTTGGCCCTTCCTTCCAGATTTGCCAATTCAGGGTCCATCCCTGATCTCCCTTATTCCTACACCTCTCTCCCTTTCATTTTCTATGCCTATCCTCTTGGCCTCATGTGGAAAAAAGATACAACGTTGCAGGGATAATTTTATAAGGGAGACGGCTTCGCCACTATGGTTTCTTCAGAGCTAATACCAAGTCTTCAGTTACCATTAGCAACCCAGTTGAAAAAAAAATCACAAAAATGACTCTGCAGGAAATGTACACAATACCATGTGGGGTAGTGTAATGTTACAAAAAAGAAAAGGTGAAATCTATAAGTAAGAAACCCATCTGCGAGAGAATATCGAGGTCTCCCCCTCTAACATTCAGCCTTGTGTCTGGCTTTTGAAACAAGTCGCCATAAAAATATTCTGTGTTCAGGTTATCCTTTAAAATTGGTGATACATTTTAATAGTCTATTAGTATAGGACACTAACTAACGAAATATCAATTGAGATGTTTATTAAACAAAGTTGATCTAGGTGGACAAAATCAAAGAAACGAATTTGTATTATAATTTAAGATATAAGCTCCTACACTTCTCTGGTAGTGCAAAGTTAAATTGTACATAGAGTAGTAAAGTACCTGAATGGAACATTTTTGCAACAGGTACGCACTTAAGTACCGTTCTGGTACGTTTACTGGTCAAGTATGAAAATACTAGTAAGATACAAGTATGTGTGTGCGTGTGTGCTCAAAGTGCTCGTTCTTTCTCAGTAAGACAAGACACGACTTAGACTTAAAAAGTGACTGACTGAACATCCTCAAAAAATCTTCCTTCATTTACCAACAAGGCAAACAAAACCGCTTGTTTGAATAATATTACGAATCATTCGCCAACAGCAACTAATAAACACAAGCAGTCAGCACCAGCGGTAAGGAAAAAGGAGTCCAAAATAACGACCCTAACTGGGGCCACCATCAGATCCTCCCATAAAAGTTATAAAACTCCCTTAAGATTGAATCTAAGTTCAGCATAAGAGAATCCGCCGACTACGACGGTGCGAGTTGCCACAGAACTAGGTCAGGAGCTGTAAGTTGCGGACCCTTGTGTTGACTAGAGTGCCGGTACGAGACGACAACCTCAGTAAAAACGTCCAAAACCTCACTAAATCTGAACTATGCTCTATGGACAGAGTTACACAGGATTTACAAGAAGTATGTGTCGACCACCAGCAAAACCATACTCTACTAAACAGACACTAAATAACTAAACAAACAGACAGAGACGATAGACTGCTACCCAGACCATAAGGAGATGGAAAAAATGGGTCTGGTCGAACGATACCAACTGTGGAAAGAGAGAGCGATTTCTCGTCTACAGGCCTCACATTCAAGTGATTAGGAGGCGGGGGAGGTGGGGTAGTTGGCGGCGGGGGGGGCGCGGGGGGGGGGATGGGGGGGGGGGGGGGGGGGGATGGGGGACTGGGGGGGGGGGACCAGCACGGGGCGCAAGGTACACCTGACATCAAGCAAACGAGCGTAGTACAAGACAGTTTTCGACGGCGATGCAGCCATAACAATCTTTAAACTTTAACAGTAAGCACAGTGAGAAGTGTAATATATCACATCCTACCTACATTCAAGCTAATATAATAACTCAAATATATAAAGCAAGATATTTTCGTTTTAGCTATTAATGAAAACATCGGCAAAATACAATTATATGAAAAGGGTAAATATATATCATCCAATTTACATAAAATATAGCACTAAAAACATTTGAGCCCCGCGATGTCAGAGAGCGCACTATGTAAACAAAAAATAATGTGAAACCAACAGCTAAATAAATAATGGACGAAAAGGCACATACCGTTACTGGAACGATAACACAAATAACACCGCACAAGTAAAAGAGAGAAAGCTTACGACGACGTTTTCGGTCAGGGACTTGGACCAAAGACACCGTCACAACTGTGACTTTGTCAATGGTCGCAAGTCGACCGAAACGTCGTCGTAGCTTCTCTCTTTTATGTGCGGATGATTTATGTGTGGTTGAAACAGCTAAACCTCTGGATAACCGTAAAAATGCGTGTTCAACTTGGAAGATTTGTACAACTCTTGAAGATTCAGTGATGATAGATTAGACCATTAAGGAAGAATATTAAGACGGGCGGAAGTGTATAGAACTGCCCCTTAACAGCTGTCAGAAACACTACAATTCATCATACGTCCAGGAAATTAGAGTGCCGTGGAGTTCGTCGTGTAGACTGGGTCCGGGTCTCTCCCAGTTTGTGACCCGGCGGAAGTTACACCTATATCCAAATTGCTAAACATCAGGATCTTACTCATTCTGGAGATCACGGTAGAAGATGTTAACAGGTCCTTTCCCCAACCCAACCCGACTCAACCACTACTACGACTACTACTGCTACTACTATGTACTACTACTACTACTCCTACTGACTTCTACTGTTGCTGCGATAACTGCTGCAACTACTACTATTATTACTACTGCAGCTGGCTATTAACTGCTATGTTACTACTGAACAACTGCTACTACTACTACTAGCTATTACTAACAACTACAGCTGCTGCAGCACTGCTGCTGCTGCTGTTGCCTGTTGCTGCAGGTGGTTGCCGCTGCCTGCTTGCGCTGTTGCTGTTGCTGCTGGTGTATGCTGTGCTGCTGCAGCTGCTGCTGCTGCTGCTGTTGCAGCTGCTGCTGGCTGCTAGCAGCCTGCTGTTGCTGTTGCTTGGCCCCTGGTGTTGCAGCTGCTGCTGCCGCTGCTGCTGCTGTTGCTGCTGCTGCTGCTGCTGCTGCCTGCTGCTCCTGTCTGCTGTCTGCTGTGCTGGCTGCTGCGTACTACTAACTACTACTTACGGTACTACTACTACTTACTACTGCTGCTGCTGCTGGCTCCTGCTGCTGCTGC